TATCTTTTTCATTAAACATTTCATTAAGGGGAAGTTTTTGCCAAAAATAATTTTTTAAATATTTTGTTATATCAAAAAGGGGGAGATTGTTGAACTATATTTTGATATAACAATTTATGGCAAAATATTTTTGGACTTGAATTGAATTTATTCAAAGTTTTCAAAAATAATTCAAAGTCCATTTAAAAGATGAATTGAGCAAAAATTACAAGTAGTATCGATATTGTTATTTGCAGTATTGATACTGTTCTTTGCAGTATCGATACTGTTCTTTGCAGTATCGATATTGTTCTTTGCAGTATCAATACCACATGAATGGGTATCGATACCCTACATGTAGTATCGATACCTTAGACAAAGGTAGTATCAATAACATCAAGGTAGTACCGATACTACCATGAAGGCTCAAAATATCGAATGCAAAATGGGTACCGATACCATGCAAGGGTATCGATACCATAGTGCAAAGTAGTACCGATACCCCTTAGGCAGTATCGATACTACAAGGCTCCAACGGCTAGTTAAATTTGAAATTAACAAAGGTAGTACCGATACCCTATGAATGAGTACCGATACTTCCTATTCTGGACAACCTTATTTTGCAGAAAATTAATCCCCAACAGCTCCAAAACATCCCCAACGGCTATATACGACTTCAAACTCATTTCAAGCTATAAAAACAAGCTGAGAACACTTGAAGAAGTAAGAGAACAACTATCCAAGCAATTAAACACAAGAGAAAAGTTTTTCAATCTTATTTCATCTTTCTCTTGTAAATATTTTGTTCTTGTGAGCTTAATTCTTGTAAACACCTATCATAGAGAGGTTTTCTTGTTTACATTTCCTTTTATTGTAAAGGGGTTTTGGTTCTAGCTAAGCCTGCTAAAAGATAGGGAAAAGGTTATAGTTTATCCCGTGAAAAACTAGGGAGTTTGTAAAGGTTATCTCTTTGTCCTGTAAAAAGAAAGAACAAATTAGTGAATTTGTTGGAAAATCCTTGGTGAGGAGCTAAAGTAGTGGATGTAGAATTGGTTGAGAAGTCGAACCACTATAAATCGCTGTGCAATTTTCTATCTTTAAATCTCTTTACTCCCTAAACACAAAAACCGACCCGACCACTATTGGCAAACCCTTTCAGTTGTCGATTCGAGCTTCCGCAAATCCCAACACTTATCATCAAAGGAGTAAATGTAGAGGTTACATGTAGAAGTATATATATATATATATATATATATATATTAATTAGGTTCAATTAAATTCTTTCTACAGTTCAGGATGGTGTAAATATTTATTTTCAATATGTATGTATGTATTTTTTTAACTTTTTTTACTTATATAACTGTTAAATTAAAGGTAAAAATAATTTTTGTAACTTTAATTTGAAATAAGAAAATAAATAAATAAATAAATAAATATTTATAAAATTATATTAAATTAATATTAAATCATTCTAAAAAATTAGATTTATAGTATTTACTTATGATAAAAATATAAATTTTAAATTATTTTAAAAAATTATATTCTCTTAAAAATTATATCATTATTAATAAGAATTAAAAATAAATATATTTTAATTTATTAAAACTAGGATCAAATTGAAAGAATATATAAATAACATGGGCTCTTTGTGTAATTATTCCATCCAGGTAAGCCTGTTAACTGCTATTAACAGACCACGTGTGTTTTCTGTCACGCCTGTTAACAGCGAGTGACCAATTTGTAACAAACGATAACATTAGTGACCGATTTGTAACTTTTGAAACATCAGTGGTGAAAAAGAAAACTTATCCAAACACTAGTGACTATTGGTGTAGTTTACCCTAAAATTTAATGATCTTTTTATGAAGATAAATTTAATGAATATTTTTGAATGAACTAAAATGATAATTTGAATATATTTATTAGGGGAGAAAATCAAGGACGAAAAGTAGAACGTTTTCAAAATTTTAAGGATTCAGTCCTTTCTCATTTGTAGTGTTCAAATTTCACTAAAGTTGTGCCTACCAGTAATCACCACAAGAGCACTCGCAATCTCTAAAATGATGAAACCTCTTTGCATCTCTTACAATAATCTCCCTTCCCACCACTTTTGACATAAACTTGAATGCATTATGGCAATCCCCACAAATCCTAAGGTTCTTGAATACCCTCACGGTGGCTCCACGAGGAAGCCTCATTAGTGCCAAAGCTACGGCGAACTTCTCACTGTGAGCCGACAGGACACGTTCTTTCTGGTCCGACTCTATATCGTGCAGCACAAACTTTGTGTCTGGAACATAACCCAATCTTCTCATTTCCGCCACCAATTTGTTAAGATAATTGTAAACTGCTTGCACCTCAGGGTGCATTGTGTCATCAACCAAGAAAACATGGACTTTGTTCTCAACCTCCACCCAACTACACCCAGGTTCCTTGCGTACTCCTCTGTCTCTCATTAGTTTCCGTGTGTTTGCAGCATCGTTCCACCGTCCAGCAGTAGCATACATATTAGACAAAAGCACATAGCTTCCGTCATGTTGCGGCATCAGTTCAATTAGTCGTTCAGCGGCTTGGATCCCCAAATCTACGTTTCCATGAGTCCGGCATCCAGCAAGAAGAGCCTCCCAAACTGCAGCACCTGGGTCAAAAGGCATTGATGAAATCACATCCTTTGCTTCTAGGAACTTTCCAGCTCGACAAAGCATATCAATGAGACGGGTGTAATGATCTTCACCTGGGGTTATCCGGTGAAGCCTATGCATTGAATTGAAATAACTAAACCCGCATGGCTACAAGCAGATAGAATTGTAAGGAAAGTAATCCGATCAGGTGATATGCCTGCACCCAACATCTGCTCAAAAAGTTCTAATGCTTGTATTCCATGCCCATGCTGGCCGAGAGCTGCAATCATGGCATTCCAAGAGACTGAATCCACATATGGCATTGTAAGGAACAGCACATTAGCAGCTTCCACAACACCACACCTTGCATACATTGTAATCAATGCATTTCCATCTGAAAGGCTGGAATTGAGCCCCAAACGAACAAGCTGAGCATGGAGTTGACGTCCATTCTTCAGTGCTCCTAACATGGCACAGGAAGGTATTGCTCCTGCAAATGCATAATCACATGGCTGAAAACCCTCTGATTTCATCTGGTTAAACAGCTTTAAACCCTCCTCTCCAAACCCATTTTGAGCTAATCCTGATATCATTACGGTCCATGTCAAATGGTTCCTCTCTGGCATCTTCCTAAAAAACAACCTGCCTTCATCGATTCGGCCAGCATTCACATAGCCAGATAAGATTGCATTCCACGAAACAAGGTCTCTTACCGGCATGCTATCAAAAATCTGGCATGCCCAATCCACTTTATAACATTTCCAATACAATATAACTAATGCATTATTCACAGGCAATGAAAATTCAGGTGTAGGCTTAGCTTCTGTCTTTAAAACATAGCAATGCGCTTGCTTTCCGAGATGAAACAATCCGGCATGCGCACAACAACTAATAATGCTAGTGTATGCAAATTCATCTAGTTTAATTCCCATGAAATACATCTTCCTAAACATGTCCAGTGCTTCTTCATAACGTCCACAATGCACATACCCTGAAATCATTGCATTCCAAGCAACTTCCAACTTTTTACTCATCCCATCAACCAACTCCCTTGCTGCATCGAGTTCATCGTTCTTAAGATAACCAGTAACCATCGTCGTCCACGACAACTCGTCTTTCTCATTAATCTCATCGAACAACTTCCTAGCTTCGAACACCAATCCGCAGTTAACGTAAACAGAAATGAGTGCATTTAAAACCGAAGTAACAAACCCTGTCCCCGACTTCAAAATAACACAATGGAATTGCTTGCACTGCATTGTTCTATTGACAACAAGAGCCAATCCACCTAACACAGAGGTGAAAGTGAAATCATCAGGCCTAAATTCATCACGTAACATGCGGCGAAACAGTTCGATACAAGCATGGCCATCTTCATTGCGTGAATACCCCGTGATCATCGCGTTGTAGAAAACGCTGTCCCGGATGCTCAGAGGGGTTTCTTCAAACATTTTTCGCGCTCTTCTAATGTCGCCCGACGAAGAATAAGCTGAAACCAAAGTCGTCCTTGAAACAATATCTTGTTCAGGAATTTTATCAAACAGATGGCGAGCGTAGGTGATCCTTGATGATTTGCTGTATAGATCGATCAGACGGTTGAGAATGTGGCCACGGGGGCTGAAACCAGAAGTTACCATGTGAGAATGGATGGTTTGGGCTAGGGAGAAAGAGGCAGAAGTTAGGGGGTAACATAGTTGCAGCTGGGAAGCGTAACGATTGGCTACCCTACGGATTAATTCTGGAGTCATCACGTCGTAGACAGTCGATTTTCATGGTTTTTGTAATTACGCGTTACTTTAATTTCATATTTCATCTTTACGTAATCAGGGTTTAAAACTTTATTTAATCCATCAACGGACTCAAATAATTAAAAGGGAGTGTTGTGTTATTTTCTCTCAAATAATCAAAAGAAATTTAAGAAGGAAAATCGGAACATTCGGCCATGGTGGAGGTCGGGGCGATCCAACGATCGACGATTGGATAACCAATTTTCTAAAACTTTTAATTAACGTTACTAATTAAAATGAAATCCTAAAAAATAGAGGACTAAATTCCATAATTTCAAAAGAGTTTGATGGCTACTGACGCAAATTATCTAAAGAAAAGATGAAACTCTTCTTCGGTCAGCACTACGTTAATTTCATTCTCATGACAGAAATACCCTCCAAACTATCCAAAATTACACACCCACTGCCACTCTTTAAACCTCCAACACTTCGTTCCCCTAATTCGAGCGTGTGCCATTAACGCCCCTAATTTTCACCACCGAACTTGCTCGACAAATAATCCACGGATCAACCCCACCGGGGACCGCCTCGGCCCACACGAACCAACTAAAGCTCGGTTACTTTCCATTCCGAACCAAACTCCGAACTGAAAACTCTCTATAAAAAGGAACAGAATCTAACCACGAACCGCAGCTGAGGTTTCTTCAGAATAAGCCTTTTTTTCCACTGAAAATATCTGCAGACTACATGTTCCCCGATTCTGCAAAAAAATCTTTTTACTGTTAAAGTTCGAGCTGTTCTACTTCAGTTACACTAAAAAGAATCATTAACAGTTTTCTTAAGAAATATTTTTTTACTTTGGCTGACATAATTAATAGAATTATAAAAACTTTCTATGATTGTTTATGTGTCTATGGCTACAGCTTCAGATCGCTTTAAGCTCCGCAAATTCAGTCAGTGTCAAAAAACAAAGATCTTAACTGTTTTTTGCTGAATTGGAGATTTTTCTTAAAATTGTTTAGCTTGAATTGGAGTTTGTGTGGTGTAGATCCTGTCGAAAGGTTGTCTAAGCATTGATCCAGTTCGCCGGTAATTATTTCATAGATTAATTGTGAATTACATTGTTGAATTTCGAGTTTTGGTTTGTTTGGCAGCTGAGAAAAATAATAACATAGTGAGTTTTGAAGAAAAAATTAGCCATTATTTAGATGAAAATGTAAACCTCAGTTTCAGTAAAGTCACGCTAAAAACAAGTTGAATTATCTTCTATATATTTTAAATTATTTCTTAATATTTACTTGCTTTTTCTGATAAAAACTCTGTTTCCTTTAGATGACTACTTATTAAGGAAAGATCTAATGTCCTGGATTTTTTTTAAAAAAATTCTTTTTTGCAGGAAAAGAAAATGGCGCAGAGTAATTGGGAAGCATACAAGATGTAATAGTGATTGTTTACTTCGTTGTCGCTGCTTTTGTTGATAATTAGTTTATATAACTTTGAACTTGTTTCCTTTCAGTAGATTCAACAAGAAATAAGTGATTTTTTATTTCATTTTTTGGTTCATGCTGCAGGCTTGATGTTTATATTCATGATTATCTGTTGAAAAGAAAGTTGCATGCTTCGGCAAAAGCTTTCATGACTGAAGGAAAGGTTGCCACAGATCCAGTAGGTAATATTTACAAGCATATTCATGCATAATATGGCGAGCTCTAAGCCAAATGGCCTGAAATGTTAGATGACTCTGATTCTTTGTTGATACTTCGACTATGCGAGCCATCTTTTTGAATTGTCAGTTAGTGGCAGTATCACCTATTTTACATCTGTCTTAAGCTGTCTGTTAATTGTTTCTGCAGCAATCGATGCGCCTGGAGGATTTCTGTTCGAGTGGTGGTCTGTCTTCTGGGACATATTTATTGCTAGAACAAATGAGAAACATTCTGAGGCTGCTGCAGCCTATATAGAGGTGTCTTTGTTTTGTTATATAAAATATTGGCGGATTTACTTTTTGCTCATTTCTCGTAGATATAATTCTATATGATTGTCTCAGGAAAGGCGAGTTAATATACGGCGTTACCGGATACATTGAAAGATATTTAATAAATTCGGTTTAGCGCTACCGGAAATATTGACTAATAATAATGTAGTAGGTCTAAGTCATGAAGAAATATTAAAAAATTGTGTAACCGGCAAACTTAACTTGTCGGTTCATGTCAATCCAAATTAAAAATGTGTCGATCCAAAACGATATAACAGGTAAAACTATGACAAAACCGGTATTGAAATGATAAAACCGGTAAAGCGTTACCGGATACATTTAAAGTGTCGGTACTTTAATATAAGGATCGACACTTCGTGAATTTAAAAGAGAAGCAGTTTTAAATCCTATAAAGTGTCGATACTTTTAAAAAATGTGTTGATCCAAAACTGTAACACCCCCAACCCGTATCCGACCCGGATACGAGTCCGAAGTGTCACATTGTCTTTTCAAACATTTATTCATATAAAATAATGAGTAATTTAAAAACTTTCATTACATTGAACTTATTCAAAACGTTTACAAAACTATTCAGAGCTTATACAATATATATTCTTTTGATTACATGCCAACTAAAACTTTATTTATTAAAATACGTATTATTCACCTCTTTTCTAATCTGACATTTGGTAAGGAGAACTGACCGGTCTTGCTCCATATTGCTCTTTACTCTTCTCGAAACCTACGTGTGAAACAATCACACTCTAAGTCGTTGACTTAGTGAGGCATATAAACATATAATAAAAACCATAGAACATTTCATATAACAAAACACATACCTGTACAAATACTATCAATCATTAACATATCTATCATATAATATCATACATTTTTCCAATCAATACCCATTTCATCCGATGAATATGTATTCTAAATATTTCATCATGACATTTCAATATGCATGTATCTATTACATGATAACATATATAATCATATCATGCACATACGAAACTTACCTTCTTGTACCACTTTCACTTTAAAGTTTGTATTTCAATTGCCCATGTATATTATTGAGAATAGAGGTATGTGAGTACATTGAGGTTGTGCACTAATGCTGTCACCACAGCTCGTATAATTGCACCGAAGTGCCACATAGAATTGCACCGTAGTGCCATATAATAATGTCCATAAGGACCACATATTATTCTTAAGAATCATATACATATACTAGGGATCAAGTATGTGTCTTACAAGACTTCACACATGTTCCACAGAATATATATATATCCCGAAGGACCGCGTAGAATTGCACCGTAGTGCCATATAATAATGTCCATAAGGACCACATATTATTCCTTAAGAATCATATACATATACTAGGGATCAAGTATGTGTCTTACAAGACTTCACACATGTTCCACAGAATATATATATCCCGAAGGACCGCGTAGAATTGCACCGTAGTGCCATATAATAATGTCCATAAGGACCACATATTATTCCTTAAGAATCATATACATATACTAGGGATCAAGTATGTGTCTTACAAGACTTCACACATGTTCCACAGAATATATATATATCCCGAAGGACCGCGTAGAACCCTCGACTCTTGGCATGCCAACTATACCTATAGCTCTCATATCATATACTATGGGCATTATTCTTATGTTTCATATCACTTGTTCCTTTTCTTCGGTCACATACCATATGTATGTGTGAACGTACATCTCATATCATATAACCTTTATCTCAAGTGCATGTAATCACGTATTACATGTAATAACGTAGATCATTTCATATGGATTATATCATTTCTCATTTTTCATGTAAACACACATGTCATATCTTATTCACATATGTTCATATATACATCATATATCACATAGAATAACATATAAACTTATACATATATTCATGTACATACTTTCATATAGTTCGTATATCAATGCCCTATAACTTATCTCACATTATTTATATCCTAGTTTCATATATTTACTTAATTCAATTTCACATAACTTGTTACCTATATATATTCTTATAACTTATCATCACATAACTCCCATAACATCTTCCTATAGCTTCATAGATCTTTACTATATGACTCATATATTATATATTCATTTAAGCCCATAACTCTTCCCATATAGTTTATCTTACATGTTCATATAATCACTTCTGTCAATGTCTCCTAATTTATATATTATTTTCATATTGTCCTATAGGTCAATGTTATTTAACTTGTCTCACTTTTCATTTCATCTCATAAGTTGGTTATACTAATTCTCATATATTTAACTCGTGTAATTTATATCTTGTTATTATATCTTCAACTAGACCTATATCCACATGTTCATAATCACATAACTTATATTCTTTTTCATATAATCACATATGTCTATGTCATTTAACTTATCATTTATATCAATATCATATATATTTTATATCATTTTCTCTTGCTATCACATAAGTCCTTGCTATTTTTACATAGTTCGTGATCCTATAGTCAATTATAATAGCATATGTTTATCTTATCTAATATCATGTAGTTCTTTAACTTATGTCCTATATCACATATTTATATTATAAACTTATATAATCACATATACTATTTAAACCCGTTCACATAACTTATCACACTAACATATATTCATTCAATTCATGTAACATATGCAATACATATAACATATGTACCCATTTTCATGCACTCATGCAAACATAAGAATCACAATTCAAATAACATTTTTAGGAGTCCCTTCTTACCATAGTGACTCCATCACTGGCTCATCGCAAGCCAATGTTTATTTGATACATAAGTACAATTTAAATTGCACTCACCTGGGCCTCGTTGTTTGAATCAATCTTAATCCTTAGTTTGTTCCGGAACAAGCTTTCATTCTATATCTACATAATAATACATTAATACTTATCAGTATACTGATTGATATATTTGAAACTATCACTCCTTAGGCTCAGAGAAAAGCCAATTTCATCTTTTAATGAAGGTATGCATCGATGCACAACTGATGCATCGGTACATAAAATGCATTCGATGTTGTATTATTATTGGGATGCATCGATGCATGCCTTATGCATCGATGCACTAATTGCATTCGATGTTTCTATTTTAAAAGAGTGCATCGATGCATTACCAATGCATCGATACACCTTCAAGAAATTTCTGGGTTTTAACCTTGATGCATCGATGCACTATGAATGTGCATCGATGCACTCTGCCCAGAATCCTCTTTTATGCCCGAAAATCCACTCTTTTCAGCTTAATACTTCATATATCATCCCTTTTCTTATTTTTAACTTACATACTCATATTCAGACTCATTCCTATTCATTAATCACCTCTTTAACATCAAAATCCTATCCTCCATATGAAATTCAAGAATTACACTAAATTTTCAACATGTTCCAAATTCAATTCTATTGCTTCTAGCTTTTTAATTATACCTTTGACAAGTCAAATCCATCTTTAGAACTTCAAAAACCTTTCTATAACAAAATTTCATTTCTATACCCTTCATATCATTTCCTTTCTAATTCTCTATTCTTGATGTTTAAAGCTTATATAAGCTTTCCTTAAGTTTATATAATACTCCAAGAATCAAAATCAACTTATAAATCCAAGAATTAAACAGCTGAAATTAAACTCACCTTTAAATGAGGCTTACGGGAAGAAGAAGAAGCTGGAGAAGAAGACTCTGGATAATTCTCTCCTTTCCCACGTGTTTTATAACCCTAAAAGAAAGATAAAAATCTTTCTGGTCAAATGACCAATTTGCCCTTTATTTCCTTTAATAATTACTGAATAACCTTCATCATATTTCTAATAAGTCATTGAACTATTCAATTATCCTACTTTAATCACCAATTTCTGAAACTTTATAATTTGGTCACTAACCCGGTATTGAGGATGTTACAAAAACGATATATCAGGTAAAAATATGATAAAACCGATATCAAAATTATAAAACCAGTAAAACGTTACCGGATATATTGAAAGTGTCGACACTTTATATAAGGATCGACATTTTGTGAATTTAAAAGAGAAGCAGTTTTAGCGCCTATAATGTGTCGATACTTTAAAAAATATATAAATCCACAACGATATAACAGGTAAAAATATGATAAAACCGGTAAAACGATACCGGATATATTGAAAGTGTCGATACTTTCGTAAGTACGTGTAATAAATTATCGACACTTTCAAAGAAATAGGTAATTATCCTTTCGAAAGTATCGACACCTGAGATAAAAGTATCGACAATTTTGTATTTGTATCGATTATATATAAATAACACATCCGATGAAAATATAAAGGCCATATCTAAATATCCTCTGAAAATCGATAGAACGGACGAGTTTTTGAAATCGAAGCGTAATTGTTGCTGCATTTCAGAAGGCGTTTCTAAAGCGATGTTTGTTTGTTTGTTGATGCAGTCGAATCGAAAAGTATGTTGTCGAAACCCTAGTTTTTTATTATTACAGTAATCACGAATAGGGTTTTTATGTGTTGTTTGGGGTTTTGGAGTAAATAAGCATTTGGGACCGATTGCAGGTAGAAAGTGATATTGAAGGTAAAATATAAATGTCGATGCTTTTATTAAATATTATAGGTAGAAAATGATATTATATGTTGTATAAATGAGCTGACACATTTTGTAGTGGCCATTCAAATTCTTTTGAAGAAAACCGTTTTACCACAAGAGTAGTTATCTATATTTGTATATATGAATAAAGTGTATGTAACAAAATATTTTGATTTGCGTAAACTGATATATGAAGGAAAAATGGAGTCAATGGGTTGGAAAATTGTTGGTGGCGCAGATGACTTTGAAATGAGGTCGAGACTCGAAAGCAACCAAAGGGTGGATATATGTACTTCTAGTAAGTATCAATGTCTTTTTGTTATTATTGTTGAAATAGTAATTGGATTAAAGTATCGATAAACTTTAAATTGATTACAAATTTTAAATGTTGACAGTATGGCCGAATGCAAAAGGATGAAGGAAGATGGCACACAGAGCGGTTCGGTATGTAAAATGAAATTGACATTGAGTAGTATTTAGTGTTAATGTATTGATTAAGAAACGTTTATGTTTAATATTAGGTGACAAAAGATGTGAGGTCCAAATGGAATTCAATGAGTGATGCTGAAAAGGAACCTTACATCACACAGTCAAGGAATGATAGTAAAGAATACAAAGAACGGAGGAAAGCACATGAAAATAAGGTATTCATTAAACTTGTAAATACGTTGATACAAAATATATTAGAACTATAACATTATATATTGTTAAAAAATGTAGGAAGTGTCGACAAGATGCAGCATTAAAAGGGTGAATTCATTAATTAAACACCTTAAGGAGAAGGGCCAGTTGAATGTGCTGGGAGAAATAGGTTTTGGATCGTTGGTAGGAGTAAGGGATCGACCTATTCAGAGGGAATTGTGTCGATCCTTGATGGCGCAATTTGATGTCAGACAATGTATTGCTAAGTATGGTGATTTTTCATTTCCTCTCGGGATCCCATGTGCTGCAATCATATTGGGGGTAGAAAATGAAGGCAAAAGTGTTGTAGAAGTCTGTAAGAGTAAGGACTGGTTTTTCTTCCTATATCGACACTTTTTAATATTGTGTCGCTAATTTTAAGTAACGCGGTTTTTCTTTCTTCATTCAAAATATTTATATGTACATGTTTCTTATACACAATAGGAGTCATGTTGATACTTACGATATATGGAGATCGTTGTCATTCCATTCCGTCTTCAAAAAAATCAGTTGATGTAGGCTGTGTGCTTGTACTCAAACTGAGCTTGACTTGAGGACATGTTAGTTTGTTATGTCCCTCACCGTTGCAGTACCCACATCGCCTAATTTTCTTCTCGACCTTGTTCTTCTGCACTTCTTTTCGCTTGCGTTGTTTTCGTTGAGGGTCACGAACGTTGTTTACTACAATGCTCTGGTTGACTGAATCATCCAAACCAAACGAGTTTTCTAATTCTTCTATTAGTTTTTTCATCTCATCTCTTGCGGTTTTGAAAGACTCGTCTGTCTTTGATGCAATGTAGCATAACCTACTTGACGTTGAACGTAGAGCAGCGAACCTTGCCATTTGCATCACTTCTGGAGACACATTCAAATCAACATAACTGGGTGCAGAAGCCTTCGCATCATTAGTACACCTACTTTGAATCAAAGTCCCGGGCAAATATGTGTAGTCCAAGTGCTTCTAAATGTGAAGTTGATGGCGACACGGAAGTCCAACGGTCTCGAATTTTTTGCAGGAGCAAATTAGAGTTTTCGTACGAGAATCAAAACTAATTTCAAATTTCCTATTTTTTTCTGCGTACTTTGACAAAATATAATGTTAAACATTCATCTGATAAGGACTTAATCTCTGCCTCAATCCGGTACAATATCTCCCGTATAAGTTCATCTTGGAACACGCGAAAAGATTCGCGGGTAAAAATCGCAGCGGCATGGCTTTCAAGGTCGACCAGTTTTGTGATCTGGAAGGGCTTCGTATGGGAACTTAAGTAATCCGCTTTCAACTCGTTCATACGCATTCTACTAATTCCATCTTTAATTGCACGAATAACATCTAAATATGTCTTCTTGTGTTTCAGTGCAATAGCTAGTGAAGCATTCATAGACTCGCACCTTTGTGTTGAGCGAATATTGGCAAAGAAATGACCGGTTAGATATGCTTGTGCCCATAAGTGTCGTGTATTTCCCTTCTCAATCACCCATGGATGCTTTTGGACGTTGAATTATGAAACAACCGAACGCCATTGAATATCAAATTCCTCGGTTGTCCACCAGGAAGCCATGCATTTTGAGAATGCTGCTGTAAACTTTGGGTCACCAATGTTAGCTTGTGCATTGCGAGAAAGATGCCAAGAACATAATCTGTGCTTAGCATAAGAGATAACAGATTTGATAGCCCTCTGCATTGCCCTATCCCCATCGGTGACAACTGAAATAGTTGATTTATTTATCATGGCTTCTAAAAATTCTGTAGCACCCACTCGAAAGATTGAGACGTCTCGTCAGCGATTATGGCAGTGGCAAACACAATTGTGTTATGGTGATGATTGACACCAACAATAGGCATAATTGGTCGACCATACAAATTATCTTTGTACGTTGTGTCGAACGCAATTACATCACCGAAGCATGTGTAATCCGATCTCGATGTAGAATCCGACCAAATAAGATTATACAATGCCCCCGATTCGTCTACCGAGTATGTCATAAAAAACCCGGGATCATCATGTTTCTTATAATCAAAGTAGGCAATAAGCGCATTCACATCCCAATCGACGATTTCCTTTACTTTACCTCTTTGAAGTGCATTGTAGAGGTCTTTATGTGTAAATCCAACATTATGATAGCCCCCTGCCTGCTGCGTTAAATAGTTCATTACTTGTGACGTACCAATACCGACCTCTTTCAATGTTGTTGCCTCATCGATATCAGCCTTACTTACAGCTCTATTAGAACGCATAAATGGTGTCATAGCAGGTGTGCACAATGCATGATTATGTTTCTGATCAGACTTACTTATAACCCACTGATCGTTTGTATTTGTTGTTGTAACTACGACTCTAGCCTTACATCCTATTCTTGTGACTGGCGTATGAGCACGTTGACGATCAACAGTATTGACTTTTGATACTCGAAACCCTTCTTTGGAACAACAAAATTCTTGTGTCTTCACATTCCCTTCCACGTCAAGCCGTGTTGTTCCCTTACGTGCACTAAACCCATGTTCCCGTGCGAATCCCTTGTAAAAGTACCAAGCTTGATCACGTGAACAGAAGAGCTGACCAACCAATCTGTCAGATTCATCAACATTATGTACTTCATGGCATTCCTCGGTTGGCTTAACATTGTCTACATCAGTATTATCCATGGCAAAAATTTTGTTGTGCAAGTTCAGTGGTCCAGGAGTTAATGGAGATGTAAGCAAAGGTTCATTTTGAACATGTTTCAGTCGTGCTGCTTTCAATAGGATGTGGTATTGGTAGTGGTAGTTAAAGGGTGGGTACAAAATTAAATTCGCAGTATATATTTAGGTATGTACAATAACTACAAGTATCGACCCAAAAAACATCAAAACCAATAATTATAATGTAATAGGTAAATTAACAATGTAACAAGTATCGACCCAAACGAGGTGCACGCATAATATATTAGGTCAACATAAAGTATCGACACTTATTAAAAGTATCGATCCCGAAAACATCGAAACCAATAATTATAATGTATTAGGTAAATTTACAATGTAACCGATATAAATATACCGGTTTTATGCTAAAATAGGTCAGCATATAGTATCGACACTTGTTAAAGTTGTGTCGATACTTACGGTCTAGAATGAATGCCAAAAAAGGTGTACCCTTAAAGTGTCGATACATTTATTAAAAAAGTATCGATCCCTAAAACATCGAAACCCATAAGTATAATGTTCAATGAAACCGATATAATTATACCGGTTTTATGAGAGAATAGGTCTAAATCATATATTGATACTTTTTTAGTTTGTGTCGATATTTTTGTCCATAATGAAATATTAAAACCAACGAGGTGCAAGCATAAAGTGTCGATACTTACGGTCTAGAATGAATGCCAAAAAAGGTGTACCCTTAAAAAGTGTCGATACATTTATTAAAAAAATATCGATCCCTAAAACTTCGAAACCCATAAGTATAATGTAATAGGTAAATGGTCAATGAAACCGGTATAATTATAACTGTTTTATGAGAGAATAAGTCTAAATCATGTATCGACACTTTTTTAGTTTGTGTCGATATTTTTGTCCAGAATGAAATATTAATGCCCAACGAGGAGCAAGCATAAAGTATCGATACTTTTATAAAAAGTTTCGACACTTTATGAAATATCGAAACCGATAATTATAATGTAATAGGTAAATTTGCAATGTTACCGGTATAAATATACCGATTTACTTATAAAATATGTCAATATAAGCGCTACCTATTTCATTATATAAGCGCTACTTAATATGTTATTGTACTTGATAATATTTCCCGTTAAATACCTATTTTATTATATAAGCGCTATCTATTATTATATAAGCGTTACCTAATATGTTATTGTACTTGATAATATTTCCGGTTAAATAATATAACATAACCGGTCTAAATTTTAACCGGTCACTTATTTAACCGGTCACACCGTATATTAGCCATTTTTTAGGCGCCGCACCGCAGAACTACCATAATTCTATCTGTTTGTGGTTTGGAAAAACAGTCTCAACAACTTAAAGCAAAGGAACAACAGCAACTGCAAATGCAGCAGCTGCAACTAAATGTGCATTTGCAACGTAGGGATCCAAGTCATCATGCTCTTGGTGGTTCTGTAAATACTATTGATTCTGAAGGAATGATCGGACAGCCATCACCCAGTGTTTTAGCCACGAAAATGTATGAAGAACGTGTGAAACACCTTCATTCTGCAGATTCAGAGACATCATCAGCACTTATTGATGCCAACCGGATGGCCCTTTATAAAACTCAGGCCAATAATCAAGGGTATGATTCACTAATCCTTATGTGCTCTTTACTTCCTAGTTGAAATCTGTATGTTCTAATTGGACCAAGTCTTTTATTTATTTCTACCTTATTTTGTTTACACAGCCAACTGCTGCAAGGTAGTCCTGGAAATATGTCAGCGGCTTTTCAACAAATCCAGTCACTAACACCACTGACCACTGTAACTGCCCGGATTAGATGCTTTTCAATCATTTGAGCTACTGTTATATGTGTCGTTTTTTCCTTATCTTGCTTGTTTTGTCATTTCTTTCTCTATGAACTGTATAATTTATGTATTTCTACTTCTACTACTTCTAGGATATCAAAAGCGAAGTTAATTTGGGTGGAAACCAGAAAAGCTTATCGATGGATCCCTCATCCATCTACGGTCAGGTCATTTTACAACCTAAATCAGGGCTAGGTGGTGCTGGTAATGACACCTATCTTTCTACATTAATTACATGTATTTTAATAGTACGTTTTTGTTTTATTTTTCTTTTGTTTATGGACGGTGCATATCGATTAGATTTTAAATCTTAAATTACCTATTCTAGTCCACCTGTAAGATTGAATTTTGTCAGATGCTTGGGTTTACGGGGCAAATTTAGTTTATGTTTTATTCTCTGAAAATTTGATAAGTACTACCTTAATGATTTAATCTGGCTACGATGTTGGGTAGCTAAATACTTGCATAATATGAAGACTAGATAGCTCAGCCTGAGATGAAGATGCATGCTACTGTCAGTATCTGGTATTCAAGATACATAACAATAATAAGATTGAGGGACAAATTGCTGCGAGCTTGACACAAAAAAGTGCCTATTAGTTATGTAAAGCTGAGATATTCCGCATGGAGAAGCAGTTACCTTTGCTAACGGTACTATCTTTTAAGAATTTTGGATTTTCTAGAGCCTATTTGACCTCCCCTTCCTTCGTTTAACCCATCTTTCTCAACTTTGTGCCCTCAGTATTGAATCAAGGCGTCTCTGGTCTCCCGTTAAGAGGCTGGCCTCTAACTGTAAGTTATACTCACCTTCTCCAGTCCTTGTTTTTTGTTTTCTTTTAATGCAAACCTAGATATTTTATACTCGAATGGAACTTCCATACAGGGGATAGATCAGTTACGACCGAATTTGGGCAAACAAATGCAAAACCCTAATCTACAAACTCAAAATCAATTCCTTTTGACATCACAACAACAGCACGTTTTGGCACAAGCTCAGATGCAAGGCAACTTTGGAAACTCAACGAACTTTGGGGAAATGTCAAGGGGTAATATGAATACAAAAGTTAGTCCGTCTGTTAGGAATGATGGATCGATATGCTTCCCAGTGCAATCAAGTTCTCCAAAGGTTTAAACCTTTTTCTTTACATCTTTACTTTGAAACCTTAAGATACGACCTCGTTTGTTGACATGTGTGCCGTCACGGCCTCATGAGTGTTTATTTGACCAATTACAAATAAAAGGTCACAATTTAATGAGTTTTCATTGATCTTTTATGTAATTTTGAAAAATTAAAAAGAAATTGATGAATTTAGTTATCTTTTGAGTTTATGTAGTTTTTTTTTATATAATTACCAAAAAGGTTGTAGCTTCTTTTTAATATTTGTTTCAACTTTTTGTGGTTTTTTCTAAATTATATATATAAATAGATTTTATGTTTTTCTATTCTACTTTATGAAATAATAATTTTTAGATTATGAAAATTATCAAAATTGTGGTTCCTTTTATGAAATTTTTTGCACTTGGAAAATGAGATGGTAGAGAGAGTAGTTATAGGGAGAAACTGAAGCTTTGGGATAGGGCAAAATAATATATATATATATATACACACACACGAGAACATGTACGGTTGTACACTAACAAAGTTGAAACTTAATAATATGAGAAAATAACTTCAGTGACCAAAAATCCCATATAATATACGATTTTAATCAACTTTTTCCGGATTTGCCAAAATGACCAACAAAATCGCAATGCGATCGCTAATTCGTAACGCGATCTCCATTATCGCAAATTCGCGTTGCATTTCGCGTTGCGATAGTTGAAAATCGCGTTGCGATGGTCTACAGTGTCGTTGCGATTTTCCCAATTCGCAATGCGAATAAGTAAATCGCAACGCGAATTGGGAAAATCGCAATGCGATACTGACTATCGCAATGCGATACTTACTATCGCAATGCGATAATACAAAATCGCAACGAGATACTGACTTTCGCAACGCGATTCTGACTTTCGCAACGCGATAATACATAATCGTAATGCGATTTTCAAAGCGCCATTAGTATCCTGGCCAAGTATTTTATTTTTAAATTCCAAACACGAATATTAATATATTGGAACACTGAACCGTCTACAGTATATCCCGTAATCACAACTCATAACCTAAAACCTAAAATCACAACTCAGTCTCATCTCCATCTCTCACTCTCTCACCCATCTCCGACGAAATCCGTCCCCATCTCCGGCGAAATCCGTCTATCTCCATCTCTCAGAGCCACCCTCACAATCAGAAATGGAAAATCAACCAAATCAACCAACGAGGGTTAGTTTTTTTAATTATTTTCTTTTTGAAATTTTTACATTATTATTAGGTTTTTCATATTGAAATTGATGATAAGTTTACTGGTAATTTCAATAATAGATTAACCATTTCACTTAGATTGCTTATTAAATCAACCGAGAATCGCAACGCGATTTTAGTTTCGCGTTGCGATAGTCATTTTCGTGTTGCGATTTTCATTTTCAGAAACTATTCTTCTTCTGCAAATTGAAACTTGAATGAATTTCATTACTTCAACCAAAAAACAAATACAAATACGAAATTTACAGTGTTGCAAATTTAAGTTTGAAGAATAAACTACTACTCTTTATGTTTATTATTGTTTTTGGTATATCTTCACAGTGTAGTTTTTGGTATATCTAACTTGATATGTTTATTGTTTTTGTAGAACTTTTATTTGGCTCAATTGACCTTAAGAAATAAAGTCAGCCTGGCCAAAATAATTGCGTCGAAGCTTTCACCTGCACAAAGAAAAATGTTTGAGGATACATGCTTCGGGCCATGGCTGAAAGTACAACATCCTGGTGGAGATGCGATATTGACACACCTGTTTCTTCAAACCATGACTAGCGATCTACCAGAGACTATAAAAACGTCGTGATGAAGAGATATGGTTTGATTTTCCACCGGCGTATACGTGTTTTGGGCGGGAGGAGTTTTGCTTAATCACCGGTCTACGCTTCGGACACGATGATGTAGGTCGGTACACTAGACACATTACCCGCCCATCATGGCTATCCTGGGTTTTTCTTGAGCTGGAGAAGCTGAATCTACACGTAGAAGACCTGACAAGATTGTTGAATAAGAAAGATGGTTTTACTCGGATGGATGACGTCGACGTTGTCCGAGTATGCCTTCTAATTCTTTTGCATACCGGCTTTTTAGGCAGAGAGGCCAGACAACCTATTCCAAATGATCTAATCAAATTGGTAGAAGACCTAAATGCGTGGAACCTGTTTCCGTGGGGCTCGTATTTATGGAAAGCTACATGGAATAAGTTATCGTCTGCCTTGGATGATCGAAAAAGTTTGCATGGCGATGGTTCCAAATACACTTTGACAGGCTTTATTTGGGCCTTTAAGGTAAGAATTTTTATATAATGTTTCCAAAATTATAAGTAATTATTTAACAATTACTAATGTTTGTTATTATATTGTTTGTAGATTTGGATATTTGAGGTCTTTCCCGCCATGAAGACATATGCAATAAAAACTTCAAATGATATTCCCAGGGCTATTTCCTGGAAGAGGAAACGGACCTTGCAATGGGAAGATTTACTACGGTATACGACAATAAATAATGTAAGTTAACATAAATACTACCATATGTTTATAAACAAGTTATTACTAGTACACGTTTAACTTTGTTTGAGCTTTTATATTGTTAGGAGGCCAACACTCCTCTACAGAGGCTGACACCCACGGAAGCTGAGCTTGCCACTGATTGGTGGCAAGCTAGTAAGCGTTTTTTTGATGGAACGGTTGATGAGAAGCCTCCACTTCGGGATCCATCACCTCGCCCAGAGCTATCACCTCACCCAGAGCCATCATCTGATCGACCCGACTATACACCTCCACAACGACAGCCATCACCTATTCTGTCACATCATCGAGCCTCTTCTCCACCATCACCGCAAGATAGGTGACCGGTAAAGATGCCACGACGTTTATCTCCCTACTCTCCACCTCCACCTCAACGGGATGAGTTAGGGGAGTTACGTGATGAGGTCAATGCCTTGCGTGAGGAGATCGGTACTTTACGCAAAGACGATGGTGCATGGCGTGTTGAGGTGTCTACATTACGCGGTGAGGTAGCCGCTCTATGTGAGATGGTAGCATCGTTGTAGAATGAGGTTCATACTCTACGCAACGAGGTAAGTTTAAGATTTTTCATACTTGTAATTCATTCGGTTGCTGCCAATACTGCTAAACTATTTTTGTTAGTATTTGTTTTTGGTTTTGTTTTTGTCTTTTGGTTGAAGTAATGCAATCCATTCAAGTTTCAATTTGCAGAAGAAGAATAGTTTACTTTCGCAACACGAAAATGACTATCGCAACGCGGAAATGGCTATCGCAATGCGAAATGAAAATCGCAACGAAAATCGCAACGCGAAATGAAAATCACAATGCGATTTGTGTTTCGCGTTGCGATTTTGTCGTTGCGATTTCATTTCGCATTGCGATTTTGTCGTTGCGATTTTCATTTCGCATTGCGATTTTGTCGTTGCGATTTGTATTTCGCATTGCAATAGCCATTTCCGCGTTGCGATAGTCATTTTCGCGTTGCGATTTTAAGTTTCGAGTGGCGAAAGTAAACTATTCTTCTTCTGGAATGTTTATATATGTTGTCCTTTTAAATGTTTATATAAGTGCTTACTTCTGGAATGTTATCTGAGCATTTTGTGAACTATGATATAATAATGACTTGGGTGAATACAATGCTAGTTTGAAACATATTTGTCTTTGTTTAATATCATGTCTGTTTATTTACTGATTTATGTATTAATTTTTTTTAGTGGCCCGATAAGGTGGATGCTTTACGTCGGGTTTTCCTTACACGACGGAGTTCACGCATTAGACGGCGTGGACGTGCTATTACGTCTCCGTTCACCCCAATGGTGTGAAGACTCCGCAAGAAGAAGCCCGACTCACCTGTCATCCCTCAAGAGTCCCCTCCAATCGTTCAAAAGGCCCCTATCTTCCCTCAAGAGTCCCCCCATCGTTCAAGAGGCCACTGTCATCGTTGAAGAGGTCCCTCCCACCATTCCAGAGCCCGATTCACATGGGGTAATATATCGAAGTATTGAGAAACCCCCACCGGTTCCGGACATGATGGATGAGAGTTGGCTCTCGTATGAGTTACCGGCTAGTACCCTTCCGGTATCTGAAGTGGAGAGGAGACAATTACCGGAAATAATTGTGGATAATACCCTTTGGGCTAAGACCGCAGTTGATTTTTATCTACATGAGCGGAGCCAAGGGTGTTACACTGACATAAGCAAACTCAACGATGAAATGTTTTTGTTGCTTGATCGGTCTTGGTGGGGTGTGCTATTAGGGGTTGAAGACAGTGGATATTTCGATGGGGAGGTAAGTCTTATATTTGACTTATATATGATTTTGATTAATTTTTTAAAATTAATGTAATTCACTAATATATGTCTTTTTTCTGTAAAACAACATATTGATGCGTGGGTGTCACGTCTTCTAATAATAAGGAAGCTTAGGAAAAATAAAAAAAAATTCGCGATATACAATAATGCTGGCGGCTTTTCACGCAGTTCACTTGAAGAATCAACGAGATGAATCATTTTCGTTGGGCAACGGACAAGCTAAACTTTATCCTGCATGGTGGGAGGTCGATAAGGTTAGTGTTTATTTTTTAAATTTTTTAAAGGTGTTCATAAATAAGTGCGCAAATAAATGAATTATTACTTATGATTGCAGGTGTTTATCCCTGTTTTGGAACGTCGTCATTGGCTTCTCGTCCAACTTCAGCTCCCATCCCTGAAGATAATAGTATATGACAGCATGATAAATTACATATCACTGTCTGATTTGAGAGATATTATCAAGGGATGGAGCTCTCATTTGGCTAAATTCTTGGATGGGATTAATTATTGGACTCATTCTGGACACAAGAAGCCAAAGAAGTTCAATGTCACAGTTGTCGGAGATGAGACCGTGCCACAACAATCGCCGGGAGGCAGAGGGGATTGTGGTCCTCTCGTATGCATGTGCTTGGCACGTTTGACGACGAGAAGCACAGAGTTTCTACCTCCCACCGATAGAGATAGAGCTGCAGTAAGCTTATGGTTTCGGCATTATATGGCTAGAGCGATATATTCTAGACGCTGCCTACCTGCATCCACGTTATGAAAGTATCCATTGTTAATTGGTAAGTCAAATGCAAGTTTTGTTAACATATATACTCCTTTTGGTTTGAAAATGTTTGGTTAAGTACCTATAATTCAATAATTTGCTATTTGTAGGTTTTAGATGTGTAGGAAGTCTTGTTTGAGCAAATGTTTGGTTTTTGCAGTTTAATCCTTAAGTGAGCTGCGTGAAATGGATGTACGGGTGCAAAAGTTGATTCATTGATTCAATAATTGATGAGGAAATAAGAATTATTATTATTATTATTTTTTGATTGTTTAATTGATTTGTAAAAAATGATTTGTAAATGTTGATTTGTTTAATTGGTGTGTACATAATTCTTATTTGTGCTTGTTTAATTGATTGAAATGTAATAGTTGATTTGTTGATTTTCAATATGCATTATGTTGAAGGCAAAACCGACTATCGCAACACGAAACTGACTATCGTAACGAGAAAATCGCAATGCGAAATGAAAATCGCAACGAGAAAATCGCAATGCGATTTTCATTTCGCATTGTGATTTTCTAGTTGCGATAGCCATTTTCGCGTTGCGATTTTTCATTTCAAATTGCGGTAGCCATTTTCGCGTTGCGATAGCCATTTTCGCGTTGCGATTTCCCCGTTGCGATAGTCAAATGAATGTCTAATAAGTGATAACAACTGAACAGATCATAGCAATGTTCAAACTCAAGTTACTAATACATGCCTAACTGAAAATGTTAAAAGTGCACACATAAAATACACATAATACAACGTTTGCATTTAAAAATCACCTAAGTTAACAGTCCCAAAAGGTGAAGCCGGTTGTGATTGGGATTTTGAAGATGATTGCGATTTTCAGAATCTCGTTGCGAAAGTCAGAATCTCGTTTCTATTTTGTATTATCTCATTGCGATAGTCAGTATCGCATTACGATTTTCCAAATTCGCATTGCGAATTAGGAAAATCGCAACGCGATACTTACTTTCGCAACGAGATAATACATAATCGCAATGCGATTTTCAAAGTTTGCAATAGGTTTTAGTTTCGCAACACAAATTTTTTGTGTATATATCTACGCAGAAGCAACAACTCATAACCTAAATCCCTAAATCGCAACTCATTCAATCTCCATCTATCACTCTCTCCGGCGACATCCGTTCCTATATCCGTTCCTACATCCTTCCCCATCCGGCAACAGGTCTTAGTTTCGCAGCTCGTTTGTTTAGTAAATTAATTTACAACCATGAAATCATCTAATATTGATCATGTTTGGATAGATTTGTGTTTTGGAGGGTCATGGGAGAATGTTCATTGTGTTTTACAATATATGCCTTTACCCATGAATCTTCAACTAAAACTGTCATTAAAAAAGTTAACTTATGAAACTATAATGTTACGTGTTTCAAAGAAATTAAATTTAGAGCCCCTAAGTGGATTTAGGCTATCTTATCAGAGGAATGGTAAAGTTTATTTGTTAACCGACAATGAAGATGTTGAACGATTCATTACTTACATTAGTGTTTCTAGTGATGATGTTACATTGTATGTTGTTGAACCTAGAAGTAGTATTGTTGGGTCAGTAGCGGGTAGTAATCAACTAAGTTTTTCTCAAAACCCACAACCTTTCTCTAATCCAAATCCCAATCAACTTTCAGCACCAAATTCTGGTTTTCGTATTGACCAATTAGATGATGATGAGCTAACAGAAAAAATTGTGAGTACTAGTCAGTATTCAAAATTTGATCTTAGTCAATACCCGGACTTTGATATTGGTCAATACTCGGATTTTGATGATGTTTCAGAAGAAGAAACAGACCCTGTGTGTAATGATTTTGATATTGGTCAATACCCGAATTTTGATGATGAAACAACCGTTGCCGAGGAAGATGTTGTTGATGATAATGAGGAGGAAGTGGAGGCTGTGAATGAACATGTTGAACATCCATTCTGTAATTCATATAATCCTGAAGAAGAAAAAAAAGAAGAAAAAGAAGAAGAAAAAGTCCCCGAAGAAAAGAAAATGCCACGGGAGTATAACTGGAATATGCCAGAATTACTTCAGATACCGGAAGAAGAGTTGGTAAAGAAAGCAGTTGATTGTTACACAAAAGTTATTCGTATCAAGAAAGATGATTGTTTTGATACAAAGGAAGACTTGAAGATAGCTTTGTATACGAAATGTGTGGAAGATCAACTAAAAGTTAACAAATCAAGAAAAGATCGTTTCGAAACAAGGTGTATGATTGACAAAAACTGTACGTGGCGTATGATTGCAAAGAGGATAAAAGATTGCGAAATGTTTCAAGTTAGGACTTTTATTGATAAGCATACATGTTCAAGAACCCAAGTTTTTCCTCACCATAGACAGGCAAACAAAAAGGTGTTAGGTGGTTTTCTGGCTGAGTTAATGTTTTTGAATGGCAGGGTATATTGGGGACATGAAATTATGACTGACATGAATGCTCGGTTCAAGATTAGTATATCATATTCTCAAGCTTGGAGAGCCAAATGTTATGCCTTGGAATTGTTGAGGGGGTCGCCAGAAGTATCGTTTGCCCAACTGCCGGCTTATTGTCACAATTTAAAGCTGAAAAATCCTAGGTCGGTAACTCATATCAAAACAGATAGAGATGGACGCTTTGAGTTGCTGTTTATCGCCATTAGTGATGCGGTTAGTAAATCAATATAATTCTGTTGACTCATTTCTGTTAGTTACATGCATTTCACATTTAAATGATTATATTTCTTGTGTATATTATTTTGTAGATTCGTTCGTTTATTACTTGTATGCACCCAGTTATTATAGTTGACGGAGCACATTTGAAAGATCGATACCTTGGAGTAAACTTATTAGCAGTAGCCATGGATGCTAACAATGGGATATTGCCAATAGCTTACGGGGTTGGCAAATCTGAAACCTCTGGTTCATGGACATGGTTTATGGGGCATCTTAGGGATTGCATAGGTCCTATTAGCAATCTGACAATCATATCCGATAGGGCAAACTCAATTGACAACGCTGTTAGAAGGTGTTTCCCAGATGCTTTTCATGGACTTTGTGGTGTTCATTTGTATTTGAAATCTAAAATCAAGGTCTGCTGGTATAAAAAAAGCACAAATGGACATACTGGAAGGCTGTAAAATCTTATCGGGAAGTGGATTTCAATAAGCATATAAATTGTTTAAGACGTGTTTTGCCTCAGTGTGCTCAAACACTAGAAGATGTCGGGTTTGAAAGATGGTCAAGAGTACATCAACTTGGAGCAAGATATGGTTTCATGACGTCTAATAGTGCAGAATCAATCAACGCTCTAAGTCGTCATTCCCGGAAATTACCCATTACTATGTTAATGGAGTTTTTTCGAGCCTCTATTCAACAGTGGTACTACAAGAAAAGAAACCATGCAGGTATTATTTCTTTGAATTCGTAACTTATCATATATTTTACTAAGTATTATTTATTTAAATTTACAGGAACATTGGAACATCGTGTTACACCATGGACTGAAAAAAAGATAACGAAACGTGTTGTGAAGTCAACGTCATGGAGAGTTGAACCATGTTCAAATACTTTTGCATCTAGGTGTTGGAAGTTGATGAAGTAGAACATTGCTAAATGCTAATCTTTATTATTTAATTGTTTTGAAATAAATTATGCAGGTGAAAATAATAGTTGAGTTTTGTTCCTGCAGATGTCTCCAATAATTGGGGATAGATACAGATGCATAGATTGTACAGAGAAAATAGGATTTGACCTTTGTGGAGATTGCTATGCTACTCGACCTAAGCTTCCGGGCAGATTCAATCAGAGACATACCTCTGAACACAGGTTTGAGGTCTTACAAAGCTCCGACTCGAACGTGCTCCCCTAGCGGTAGAACCTTTACAGTGCCTTTGTCTCAAGTTACAAGGATGGTGGTGTTATTTGGACTGAAGTAAGACTGCGAACATGTGTGTATTTTGTATGTATGTGTGTATTTTGTATGTATGTGTGTATATATAGAAGAAAAATAAGCTCCATATGATGAACGTAAAGTAGTGGTTCAGTTTGTCTACACAACATGTCGAACATTTTTGTTGGCCATTCATGTTTGATTCATCTAAATTTAATACGAGTCTTATATTTGTCACTGATCCGGTTAGGATTTAAGGAATTTTTATCTAATTCGATTTTAGGGTTTAAATCGCATCCATTTTGATTTTTCGTATCTTTTTTTTTTGGCTATTTTCCTTGAATAATTAAAGAATACATCTTTCTATAGTATTTTCACCCTAAAAAGCTCAATCTGGTCGTATTCTTTAAACAAAAAGGTTTACCTGTTTTTTTTAAAAAAAATTGATTTTATAATATTAGGTTGGATCGAAATCTATTGAATTTAAATCGAATATCCATCCGTATTTATATTCAAAGTAAAAGAAACATCTAATAAACTAGAAAATAAATTAGAAAATAACATTATATAATTATAAAATTATGTCAGCAATTTGATTTATTTATTTTAAATTTATTTTTTGCTTTTTTCTAGGTTTTGAACATTAATATTGTCTTTTTTGATAGTCGTTAGTATCTTTTATTCTTTATCTTTGTGATTGACGGCGTCACCAACTTCAATGTTATTTGTTGAATGTCAACCTTCATTATTTTTCTTTATTTTACTATGATTTTTTAATTTTTAATAATTATATCTTTATGACATGTTTTCTCTACCTTTTATTACGTTTTTGGTTTTTCGGTTGTTATTTTTTGTTCATTCATTTTCTCATGACTGGATTTGAATTGTCATAACTAATCAAGATAACGTTTATTTATTATCATCTTGATATTCCTTTCTTTGGACTTGGATTTTAATTTTATTTATAGATTATCTTTCAATAGTTTGTGAATACATTTAATTTCATCCACCGTTATTTATATAATATTATATTATATAATTATATACATATATATATTAACACATATTTACATTTTATTTCACAGGACCAAGACCAAAGAGCCCAGCAGCAGCCCGTTACACCCAACAGACCAAGCCAACCCGTGACCCAACAAGAAACCTTATGGCAAATTAGGGTTTTAGTTATTCCAGCAGCTGTCGCCTCTCCCCACCGGCGCCAAAATCCTCTTTTCGCATGCCTTCCTCACGCCTCCAACAGCTCAAGTCCCACGCCGGAGATCTCGGCACCCACAACAAACGCAAGGATCTCGCAAGACTCATCCATAACCAACACAACAATAATATTAGTGTTATTTTTGGTTTTAAACACCTAAAAATAGGATTTTTAGTCCTATAAATTCATGTAAGCAACACCATTTGTGGGACAAGAGTTGATACGAAATAAAAAGAAAAATATTTAGAGCAAATTGTAGCCAAGAACAGTGATTTTTCAAAGGAAAAAATAAAGAGAAAAGGTAAAAGCTCGTACCTTTATTGCTTTAGACCATTGCATATGTGTTGTTCATCTTTTTTTTTCTTCGAATCAAACCCAAAAAAGAGTCTTGGTCGATGACCGGTGGGGTTATTTTGTCGAAGCATTTTTGTTAGATCTATGACCCCCCGAGGCTCGTTTTAAAAAACTAGTTGGATTTTTGTAATCTACACAAGAATAGCTTTCGGAAAAAGTCTACCTTTTCGTGTTTGGCCGCCGATGAACGACGGCCGCCGTCGCTCAACGGCGACGGCAAGGCAGAGTGGTCGCCGGAATCTGAAATCTGCGACCGTTGTTCATCTGGTTAATGAACATTTGAGAGAAAGTTTAAAAGAAGGGGGCTCTCTCGTTTGAAAGGAAGAAGAAATGAGGATTATAAAAAAAATTAACTTAAATACTAAGCCCGTGGAGCCCCGACCATGACTCGACCCATTTTCCCTTGGATCCAGGCGTTTTGTAAAAGAAAGGGAGTAATCTGTTTTTCGTCCCTCTATGCTTTTACAAGCTGATTTTGGTCCCCAATCGAGTTTACATCTTGGTTTTATTTTGAAATTTGGCCACTCAATTTGTTGTAATTTCAATTTAACCCTTTTGAAATTATTTTTATTATTTTTATTCCTTTTGTATAACTATTATTATTTTTTTATTATGTTTCTTATTTTATATATATATTCATTTTGGTTTTCTATTTATTTATATTTTATTATTATTATTATTATTATTATATTGTATATATGTATGTATATATATTTTTTTATTTTTCTCTTTATTATTATTATCTTTATACATATTCTGTTGTTTATTTCATTTCTTTTATTTATCTTATATTATTTATTTATTTTTCCTGTCTAGTTGTTATGTATTTATTTATTTACATACATTTTTACTTCATTTATTTTATTATTATTTTTTCGTTTGTTTTATTTTATCTATTTCTTATTGTCTTTATTTTCGATTCACTTTCATTTTTTCCCTTAACATTCCTTTTCCTTTAAGGTTATTTCAATCGGTCAGAGGTAAGTTTTGGGATCGTTATTTTACCTTTTTAATTAAACTTACAATTTTCTTACTTAAAGATAACTGGAAATTGTGTAGTACCGAAAGGGCAGTTCAAGGGTGCTAACCCTTCCTTGACTGTAACCGACTCCCGAATCCGACATATCACTGGTAAGATGCAGATCATGTAAGGAATAAGGTATTCGATCTACCCATTTTTTAAAAATAAAAGATCAGTGGCGACTCCAATCCATTTTTCTAAGTCGAAGCTCAATTATGGGGCCCAACCGAAAGACGATTCTGACAGTTTGGCGACTCCGCTGGGGACATAGGTAAGTGAGTCGGCTAAGGGAATTTCCAGTTGTCTTTTTAACAAAAAGAGTAAGATTAAATTTTAATGTAACATTTCGATCCTTATTGCTTACTTTTGATTATATTTTCGAGTAAGTAGTTGTACTAACCATTTTCTAATGATTTCAGCCTTTTAAACTTGTTTTTCATTTAAGGCTCTATACCTGAGCTCCGAACCCAGTTTTAAGTGGGGGTAAAATCGACGCATTTATGTGAATTTATTCACCATGCAGGCCCAGCAAGTAGCCTTCGGGATTCATATATCTTATGTCTTCATGTGAATTTATTCACCATGAAGGCATAAGAGAATGTGTCCTCTCGAGTTTAACTTAGTCCATACAAGCCTGTGATGGGTTTAGGACTAAGGGTCTGGCAAACCCAAGGGGGCACCAGTAAGGAGAACTCGGGTACTGTTTTTTAGAACCTAAACCGAGAGACTATAGAAAATTATAGCCTACCCTAAAACCACATTCCAAAACCTAAGATGTTTTTACCCTAACCGTGATGTTTGCCTTTTTCTTTTTACATTTTACTTTCATTGCTATTTTTCTTATTTTACTAACTCTTTTACTTTCATGTTTGTTTTTTTATCATTCACATCATTCGAAAGAGATGTTGATCCACCAAAAACGTGTTTTTTAGACATAAATAATTTGCATTAATGGACAAAAGGGTTGTACTACAAGAGATGAAAATGCAGAGGACAATCTACAAAGTGACTATGTGTCACATTTAATCCAAAAGACGTGGTGCCCACAATTGAATAGTATATCACTCTACTACATTATAAAGAACTCAGAATAAATCGGGTCTACATCAAGCACAATGAAAGTCTATCTTTGAAGTACTGACTGGAAAATGTTGCAGGGCAAGATGAAGGTTATTGATCTTGGGAGTCCCTTCGAAGAAAACAATGACAAAATGTTAGCTGAAATTGGAGACCATTGCTGATGAATTCAAGAAATAGACAAATGAACTTCACATAGTTCCTATCAATTGAGGGCTCCAATGACGTATTCGTTGGGAACATGCTTAATAAAAGATAAATGCTTGATATGCAGTCATTCGAAACTTCTTGGGCCAGTACAAAAAGCAACTCAATATTTGCACGGTTCATCCAGAGAAGCCGGAGAGGCACGACAGGTTATTCAACCGGTAACAGACGAACGCAGAAGACTAGTCAGCATGTCAGAAGTTGTCATGATATTTTTTTGTCTCTTAAAAGATAAAACACTTTTGTCCCCAATAAGGATTATTTATAATAATAGGCACATTTTTTGGATCAATGCCTCGAACATTTCATGCATCATGCATTCTTGCATATTATGCATTATTTTTATTTTCTTTCCCGTTTTTTCATTTCTAACAAGATATATCTCATAAAGGGAACAAACAAGCTTTGAACGCAAATTGAAGATTACCTAAAGCGTGTTTGAAGATCCACAATGATGAATGAGATACTAGCGCGTGTTAGTAAGATCGAGAAAATTCAAGAGCAACTCATGAAAACTCAACGAGAGATGATTGATCAAACAAGAAAATTTTAGGATGAATCCAGAGAGCAGATGACCAAGTTAATGGATATGATAAATGTTGTGATCCATGGAGAGAAGTCGCTAGTGGATCCCATGAATGCTGGTGTTAAAACTGAAACGATAATGACCAGAGGACCTGTTAAAGAGCCAGATATTTCAGGTTCGCCCCAAAAACCAAATATGGTTATAGAAGGTTCCACTAAGCCAACCATGGAAAAGGAGTTTTCCCTTGTGAGAGATAAGTTTCACTCAAAGAATAGGGTCACAGAATATGACCAAATGTTGACCAAGAAAGCCAAGAAGGATCAACCTCTCATAATTAAAGGTTCTACCCCTTTTCAATCATCAAGACAGGACACTCAAGTTCTATCTATAAAGTCATCACCTAGTAGTCTCTCGTCATGGGGACTAAATGAGAAGAAAAACAAAGTGCAGTGTAGGGTTTTCAGTTCCCTCCTTCCACTTTTCACTTGAAAAATTACGTTTAACCGGAATGATTACACTGGGATATATCCAGCCACAGTGGCCCACGAATGAGAAATAGACCTACAAGGAGATTCCTTGGGTGAACCAAGATAGAACCCCAACTTGTTCAGCTAAGGTTCCTAGAAACCTTGAGGTTCCTTTAGAACAAGCAATCCAGAAGTGTAAGGTAGAGATGAAGGTCTAAAACTCGAAAGTTGTCAATTCAACGGAGAATGCATGCGAAGAACATCCGAATATGAGGGCTTCCGTGAATGTAATATGGGACTGGCCCGTGGGTTTAAGAATGGATGGGGCAGTTGTAGCCAAGAAAACACCTCAAATTGCTTCAACAGAGGATTTCTCTGAATAACCTAAGGCACGGGAGGATCGAAAAAGAAATCCAAGTAAAGGAGTTTCCATGAATATGGTCCGAGATTGGCCCGTGGGTTTAAGAATCAGTGGAACAGACGTAGCTTCAACACCTATATTAGATTTCCTGAAAGTAAGAGGGATTCTAGGCAGCTCAAGAGGCTTGATGAATATTACGCCAATCACAGCCGCAATATGTGTTCGGGATCCAACCAAAACTATCACCACCGAGGAAAATCGTTTTGGATCTAAATTTGGGCCCAATTTCCAGCAACCATGAAGGGAAATACTGATAAATCACGAAGAAGTGGAATTTTCCCAAGAAAATGATCCGGAGGAAGCAGAAATTGATGTGTTTGAGGATACATCAAAAAGAGCCTCAGCCAGTGAAACAAATGAAGAGTGGGGAGCCAGTGCAGATGAAAGCCCTAATCCAACTAGTGGGGCACCCAAATGAGGCCTTATTCAATTTCGGGGCATCCTGTTTGAAATTGTTTTTTGAATTTTCTCGTATTTGAAACTTATTTTTGAACTCTTTTTGGATATTTAAATGAATTTAGGTTGAATATTGAACCAAATCTTAAATCTTGAATTCCTTGAATATCACCTTAATTAAAAGCTTTTTAAATTGAGATTGTAAATATTTGACAAATGACGAGATTGAACCCTGCAAAAAAAGACCCCTTGGTCCTAATTTAAAATATACATCAGACTACATGTTCTTCTTTTACAGGGACCGAACTAGTTTTCTCTTCTCATGAAGAGTCCATCAAAGGTTTGGTATTCAGGTATGTGTTAGGAGCAAACAGAATGGGGCAACTAGCACATGAGATTGCAAAACTAATTGGTTTATACTTTTGTTTAAGACGTTCAATGATGATCATGATCTTCTCAGATGGAATGGTCAAGTAGGTGAATCTAGTTTAGGTCAGTTGCTTGGGAATTGAACTCTAACGATGAGATTTTCTGACTTTCAAAAACACCTAGACTATAACAGGTTCTTCTTAACAAACTTAAGAAATTGGACCTGTATACCCACATTATAATATTATTTATATACAATAAAGGTTAAGTTGTACCTCTAAAGCAATTGGTTAAATGCTCCGGCTTTATGGATAATATTCAGCTAGCCGATAAAGGTGATTATACTATACAATAAAGCTTAAGTTGTCCCTCTAAGACAATTGGTTAAACGCCCCGACTTTATGGATAAGATTCAACTAACCTGATAAAGGTATTTACATATTAAGTTGTCCCTCTAGAGCAATTGGTAAAACGCCCTGGCTTTATGGATCCAGCTAGTCATTTAATGGCAAATTTAAATAAGGATTTTCGGTAAAAATGGACTAAGGGAGTTAAGGAACACCTGTTATAGTCAAATATACACAAGCACTCAAGAATCTCATTTTTAGACCGATATTTCTGCTCTACCTTTGTTAGAGGAGCTTACAAAACTTGAACAAATGAAAGATTTCTGAGAACTGAAATAGAAGTGTTATGAAAGGTATAGCCATTGATTTTGCTAGTTGTGCCATTTTGTTCGCCTCCTATCAAAATGCCAAATCAAGAAAGAGGGGCATACCATAGTTTTC